CTAGATCAACACCTAAAAATGTGAAACCATTGGATAACAGAGTCATTGCAGCACTAAAAAGCAAAAATGAAATAAAAAACATTTTGTGCAACATAGTTACCAGTGATCCTGAATGAAATAAAAGAAAAAGCAGAAAATAAAATCTTTATCGCGAAAATAAAAAAGCAATTGAAAGAAAGTAACAAAGAACAAAACCCAAACTTAAATGCGTACTCAATATACATTGGTGTAGTAATGTATGGTCAAAGAGTTGTAATACTGAGCGTGTTACAGAAATGAATATTAAAGGATCTTTATTATGGATGTCCTAGTATTTTTAGAATAAAATCTATGAGAAGTTTTATATATTGGACTGAAATTGCACCAATTTATTGAAAGAATAATGAAAGCATATAGAGGTTGTGCTCTAACAGCAAAAATTGCTACCACAAAGATAGGACCTTGGCCAAAGACACACCATGGTCAAGACTCCATATAGATTTTGCAGGTCCTATGGATGAATCATTATTTTGTGGTAGTTGATATTTTCACAAAATGGCCAGAAATTTATAAGTGCAAAAATCCAGCATCCTCAATGACAATGAATTTCTTGCATGATATTGGCATACCAGATAACATAGTATCTGATAACAGAACGCAATTCACGGTTAAAGAATTCCAAGACTTTTGTAAGAAGTTCTTCATTGAACATGTTATGACCTCCACCATATCACCCAAGGTCGAATGGACAAGCAGAATGGTTGTGGGAATATTCAAAAGAGTGTTGAAGAATGCCAGTCTTGAGAAAGTAAGGAAACACTTCAAAATTTTCTGAGAGTTTACCAGGTAACACCTAACACCAATACACCACCATGCATATTGCTAGCAGAATTAATGTTTGCCAGAAGAGTAAAATCAGTGTTTGGTAAGTTGTTTCTAAGTTAAAAAACATGAACGATTAACAAAAGCAACACCAAAAGTTTCAAGATTGGTGATAAAGTGTTCTTTAGAGAATATAAAGATGGCAAAGAAACATGGGAAGATGGCCTAATATCAGCAAGAATCAGGAAATTGATTTACATGGAGAAAGAAAAAGAATTTGAACATAAAAGGCACTCTAATTTTTTTTTTCTTTTTTACTAAGCGTTTCACTCCAAGTAAGGCGGGAAGCCACTAGGATGCAAGGGGTTACAGAAGATTTGGAGCAAGATCAGATAGTGACAGAGGAAAGGATGAGGAGAAGGATAGTGGATAGATCAAGGCAACTGGAGATGTCGATTGACATTACATTTGAATAGTTGGAGATTATAGCGCTCAGGGAAATTGGAATAGGGAAGGGAGTTCCATAGGCGAGAGGTGTGAGATATGAAGCTATTGGAGTAGAAGAGATGGCTACATTTAATAGTTTCAGCAGTGAAAGGTTGAGAGTGGGATAATTAACTGAAAAAAAGATTCAGTGATGAGTTACCTGAAGACCCAATAAAAATACTATGATGTTTTTGTAGGTTCCATGACATCATGGAACCTACAAGGACAAGATCTAGAAAAAGAAAGTGTACTAAAGAACTGGAAATAGACCCGAGATGGAAACACTACAAAGTCAAGTATGTTGGTAAACTCTCCAGAAAGATGAAGGGGAGATACTGATAAAAAATAAAATATTCATAAAAGTATTAATCTCAAAAGGGGGAGGGTTGTTGTAAATAGTACACTCCCAGTGACTATATGAACTAGTCCATTACTATAAAGAGCTCCAGGTCAGAGGTAAGACAGGTAGCCATTTCAAGTCAGGCAGTTTGCTGCCAGGTTCATGACTGACTTATCAAACTAACTCTCTGCTTTCAGACGAGGCTATGCCAAAAAGCAGAGTCCTGTCTGGGGAGGTAGACAAACCGGACCTCGTGTCAGGAAATTTTTGCCTGGGCTTACAGTTTTGGTTTTTCCCCCACATAAAAATCGGCCTTGTGCCACATCCTGCCTTTTGGGTTGGTTTGGTAAATACCTAGCCATTTGGAATCAGTCTTCAGACTAATACAGATGTCATGGCAAGTACCCAAAGAATTACATATAGAGAATCCTTGTATGCTGTATGTTATAAGAGTGTATTATAGCAATAACCATAGAATAGTGGCATTATAATAGTTTTAACCATTTTTCTACATGGTGGCAGATAATCAAACTGTGTATGTTGACATTGCGCACTACTTTGAACAAAGTGTGAAGTAGGAAGCCCTCCATCAATACTGGAAAGAGCAATAACAGTTACTGGACCTTAGAAACCTGTTTTAATAGACAAATTTTATAAATTTCAACTGATGGTAATATTGGCTACTTGGCCAATGAATACTGAATAAGAAAACAGCCAATATTACCATCTCAGTTATTTCAAGAGAAAATTCTTAAATTTTCTGAAAGAGTTAATCTATTTTTTTTTTTAGTTTCCTTGCTTTGATTCTGACAATTTAAAAAAAAAAAACTGAATCTTTTCCTCTGAGATAAAATTAATGTCTGCTCATAATGGTTTTAAACTGTACAATAAGTGCTTTGCTGCATATTGCTTTCCCACTGTTTGGAAATTAGAAGAATTTGGGTGACCCATCTGATCCTTCTAAATACTGGTTTGTTAGCTTTCTTTGGTAAAGTCTAGAGGCTCTAATAAACTTAGTGAGTGTCAGTGTAGAAGGTGAGAAGTGAGAATTGGTTAAGCATCTCGCTTTTCAGTGTCCTCTTTCAGAAAAGCAATATGGCTTTTGTTTCTCTTGGTCAACTGATGATGTATAAATGATTTTTGCCAAAAGAATCTACCAAGCTTTAGATAAGAATGGTGAAGCTTGAGCTGTTACTTTGGATATCTCAAAGGCATTTGACAGGGTCTGGCATGCTGGTTTTTTTCACAGGTTGAAAGGTAATGGTATTTCCGGATGAAGTTTTGAACGGATTCAGTTTTTCTTATCAACTCGTGAAATGAAAGTTATCTTGAATGGCCACTCTTCTAGATCTTTTTCTATTAATGCAGGCATTCCTCAGGGCTCTATCCTTTGACCCATGTTGTTCATAATTTTCCTCACCAACCTTCCTGATGACATCATTTCTCAACTCGGTATCCATGCTGATGACAACTATTTACTCCTGTCTTAATAGTAAGTCTGATTGATTTGATAAAGTCAAATTGGCAGTTTATCTAAAACATTACCTACATTCTGGTGTTAACTGGTGCAAGGAATGGCTTGTTAATTTTAATGCCTCCAAAATAAAACTGTTCTATTAAGTGTCTGAGAGAACCATTTTTGCCTTCCATCAGCATGGCTGATACTAACCTCCAGAGTGACTCGTACTTTCTTGGGCTAACATGAAGTGGAAAGATTATATTGAATCAATTGCTAGGAGTCTGCTAGTAGGAAATTTGGTTCATTATTTTGTGCTAGATAATTTTTCTTGCCCTAATCTTACATATTTATAAATCTACCATTTGTCCATGATTAGAATATTGCTGCCAGAATATTGGCCCAGTGTTCCAGCTATATATTTAGCGATCCTTGATAAAATCCAATAAAGAAACTGTGATGTTATTTGTCCTGACCTGGCATCTCGGCTTCAGTCCCTTTCCCACTGCTGCTACATAGCTTCCCTGTGCCCTTTCTATAAATACTTCTATGGTAATTTTTCTGATGAGCTTTCCTCTGTGGTACCTAGACTTTATTAAATTAAACGCAGTACTAGATTGGCAGCAAGATCTCATCATTTTACAGTTGAAATGACAAGATATAACCATAAGTTCTATGCTAACAGTTTCTTTTTTCGCACTTCTTGCTTGTGGAACTCTATTCTGGCTTCTTTCAAATCTTGATCTCCAAAAATTTAAATGCAATGCTAGTTGTTATCTTCCATTTTCTCAATTTCTATTCTTTTCTTGTTCTCACACTCAGTAACCTGCTGCATGTTAGTGTCTTTATTGCCTTACTAGGGGTGAAATGATTAAAAAGTTAATTTTCTAGATATCATAGCTTCATTCAATATTTCTTGTTACACTATGGGAAAGCTTGTCCTTCATTTCTAATCAAAAAGAAACCTAACTTTAAATAACTTTTGCAATGATTTGGTTAAAATTTTATCCTATTGACGTTAGTCTTAATTGCTTTTGAATAGTGTTCACATCCAGATTTAAATTCATTGATGCTAGGTTTCATCTTAAACTTTTTTTCCTTTAGATGGTTAAAAAAAATTAGAAAACTTGAAGCATTATATATCGAGTTCTCAGACATCAGAACGAAAAAAAAAAAAAGAAAAAAGGTTCACTTCCTTTTTGGTAAAAGCCTACAAGTTAATCCCTATTTTGATGTGAAAAGAAAATATTGCTATCTTTGTACAAGATGGCTCAAAAAATCTTTCTGCAGTAGATAAAAGGGCATTGAGATAAGCTTTGGCTTTCCTCCCACCCTTCCTATGAACACGCATTTTGCAGTTTTCAACAGCAATTAAATTATCGATCATCAATTGACTTAAGAAACATTACCAGTCAAAAAGCAAATATAAATAAAAACTATATCAAATTTCTGTTCTTTTTTTATTATTTCCTCCTTTTGATACCTTTTGTGGCACATATAGCTAATTCTTCATGATGCATAGTTTAAGGAACACTGCTTGAAAGTTGTAGTATTAATGAAAACTCTGAATATCCTTTTCTCTTTAATGTATTTGACAAAAAACAGAAGTCAGAGAAAGTGACTTAAGCTGAAAATTTCCCAATCAAGAAGAAAAGAATATTCAATTTTATCACAATATTAAAATAATGCCTTTTAATTTTACTTATATTCTATTAGTTAACATGCCAGTGTTTTTTGTTTCTTAATTCACTGACTAAATCCTCACGGGATCAAAATGCAGGTTGTTAAGAGTACAGGAATATTAGAAAGTGGAGGAGAAGTGGAAGAGACTAAAGTCCGTTTTTTATTTTCCTTAACAGAAGATGTGTAATAAAACTCCATAGTTGAAGCTTGTAAACCTTTCGATTAATCACTTACCGTTATTAGGCTTTTCTCAAATTCCTTCCCTTTCTTGTTAAGCAGCTTCTTAGTTAATGGACTGTTGGAAACCAACTAGAAAGAAAGAAAAATAAAAACAATTATTTTGAATCTTGTCTGAATTTTGTTTTGACAGAGAATTTTATTTATATTTTATAATTAATATAATAAATATAATTTATATTTGGATTAATCTGGACTTGACAAATTTTCTCGTCTTTGTTGATTTATTTTAATTTTCCTATCATAAAAGTGAGAAGTGGGTAGGTGGGTGAGCATTAATATGGAAGGTAAGAAGTAGGTGGGTAGATATGAATATAGAAGGTGAGAAGTGGGTGGATGTAAATATAGATGATGGTGAGTGGGTGTGAATATGGAAGGTGAGAAATGGGTGGATGTAAATATAGATGATGGTGAGTGGGTGTGAATATGGAAGGTGAGAAATGGGTAGGTGGATGGTATGAATAAAAAAGGTGATAGGTGGATAGGCATGAATATAGAAGATGAGCTGCTCAAATTATTTCTTAGTGAATTATTGCGGATTCATTTGTAGAATTCATAGAAAAATAAGTTTTCATATTTACTGGCCAATGAGAGATGTGCTCTCATGCCCCTATGAAAACCTGGTGTGAACATACTTTCTTGAATAAAAGAACTGCAGTTAATGGATGACTTCTGAAAGCAATTATTCATTGAAAAGGCATTGAAGTCTTCACTTCAAGGCCGGAGGATTAGTCCAGCCGAAGGAATCATAAATCCTCATGGGTAAAAAAAGAAGAGCCAACAGCTAAAGGCAGATTCCAGGACAAAATATTGTTTTCAGCATCTTCCAAATAAGACTTTGAACAAAACAAACACTCAAGTTGAACTTTCCAGTAAAGGAATACATGAAGTCCTTGAGACAACAACCTGTGCTGATACATTGCTATTCAGTTGAAGAAATTTGGGGAAGGGGGATGTGATCTTTGTATTTTCTACCTTGTGCAGTTTTCGCTTCCACAAAGTATTTCCCCATTTTCTTTTCATTTTCAAAGAGTATAATCTTTTTGGTCATTGAGTGTCTTTTCCTAAACTATAACCCTTTTCTTTCCATTTTTTGTGGAATAATCTTTTTTTGAAACATCAGAAATTTGTTATCCTGTTTAATAGGCACACAAAAAGGAAATTTTTGTGCAAATTTTATATCTATACCTTTTTTTTTAATTTACTTGTGTAATAAATGTTTTTATTTTAAAATCTTACACAGGGGTTAAGTCTTATTTTGTTATTTGTGCCTATTTTGACCTCAAAGAGAAGAGCGCACATGTTCCCTTTACACTTTCTATATCTACTAACTAGGTTTTTGTGTTTGGCACAAGATGTTAGATTTAGTAGGGAGTTAGAATTTTTATACTACTTATGCTTTTTACATGGAGCTCCTTAATAAGATTCAAAGAAGAATCAGCAATATTATTAGTCCTGATCTGGCAGCTTAGTTGGCTTCAGTCACTTGCCCACCACTGTAAGGTTGCCTCTCTGTGCATTTTTTTTTTTAAATACTCTTATGGTAATTGTTCAGATGATCTCTTCCTTATGGTACCTAGACTTTATGAATTCAAGCTCAGTACTAGATTGGTGCCAAGATCTCATCAATTTACAGTTAAGTTGGCTGGATGTAACTGTAAATTCTATGCTAAAAGTTTCTTTTCTTTCACTTCTCATTTGAGGAATTCCATTCTGGCTCCATGTTTTCCAGCCAACTTTAATCTGCAAAACTTTAAATGCAATGTTAATTGCTGTCTACTTTCCTCCTGATTACTCTTTTCTCTTTCTGCTCATTACTAATGTTTCTGTTCGTAATTTCTCCAAACCCCGTAACCCCCTTGCCTTATACTGGCTGCACTGCCTTGCTTGAGGCAATACTGGGAATGAAGTACCTGTATGTGGATAGGAAATGAGTTAAGTACATAAAATAAGGAGTAAAACAATGAGGAGTTTTCTTACCAAATTTATGTAACCTGTAGAGCAAGACAAATCTAACACTGTACTGATAACAGACTCAGAAGGAAAGCTACAACAACTCCTAGAGAAGGGATCAAAGGAAAACAAGAAAGAAAGAATGGGGAAGACAGAATGTATGGTCATCAGGGGCAACTAATTGTTTCAGCTTCAAACTGGAGACATTAGAATCAAGATTTAACTACCTGGATTTTATAATGACAGATGACAAAAAAAGCTACAGAGATCCGAAAGCACATTGGAATGCCTTCCAGAAAATAAGCAAAGTATTAAGATGCAGGAACATTTTGTGAAGACTTTAGTCTGAAAGTAGAAACCAGTTTACTGTGAAAAATTGCAATTAACCTGTTGAGTTAACTTACCTGTCCAAGTGTACATTCAAACTGACCAAGAAAATCATCATCAGACAGGGTCTCCGTTTTATTATCTACATCATAGACAGCGATCTTGATTTTCTGGACGACCTCAAAATAATACTTGACGGAGAGAGGCGTGGCAAATTGGGGGTCAAGACAGTTCTTGATGTTTTCTGTACGAGCCAACTGAAGAAAAAATATATAAAGAGGTATTATGTGTGTATGTGTGCTTGTATATCATCTGAAATAAAAAACAAAAAAACAAAACAAAAACTGAGAGACTAAATGACTGTTTGGTGTAATTTTACAGAACCAATTTTGAGATATTTTATATATACATATATATAATTACTTATTCTATTTTAGTGGATACATGTGTTGGGGTTAGGTGCACTATATTTAAAAAAATCTTTTTAGAACAGTGTGAATTACATTTGCTGGCTTGTGTAAATGAGAGTCTCAATAAAGAAAAAGTGCCCTCTGTTAGGGGTTTAAACCTTTTCCTACAAAGGGGAATATAGGTTCAAACAATGCTGGTGGACATTTTGTTTATGAAAACTCTTGGATGTACAAGTCAGATGGAGTTCACAGAGTTTAAAAACATAACACACACAGCATTTACTCAAACATATGTACCCAGAAAATTATTTTTAAAATAATGAGGAGTAATATTGGATTAAAAATAAAATACATTAAAACGTTTATGTTCATACGTTTCATTAAAAATTAAGCTTTTTATTTAATTTTTCTGGTGTTCAAACAAGTGTTTTCTTTTCTGGATACAGAGTGTAGAGAAACTGTTCAAATGTTCTGTAATTCTGCGTGCTTTCAGCTCTACTTTCTGCCATTATCAAGGATGATTTTATTTCTACTTTTTAACTGGAACCTTTTCAATAAAATAAACAAAACCAGAAAAATATGAGGCAAATGATTCTAAGAAGATATTTGAGTAGATTTAACAACTTTGATGTAATATTACCTGAAATGAGGAATAATTAAAGGCATATTTCCCCCAACATTGTCAGATTGTAAAATATTGATCTCATCAAACATTTTGTAAGTAATTAATGCAGGGCTTGTAGCATTTTCTAAGAGGTTAATCTGGAATAGGCTTCTTTTTCTTTTTAGTTAAATTCTAATGAATTTTTAATGAATTCTAACTATAAAACTTTTAAAGAATTGTAATAATAAAATTTTTCTTTACTTTATTATAAAGTAAAAAAAAAAATATTATTTTTTGGTACTTTTGACAAATAATTAAATCAAATATTGCAGGGGATATGTTGCTACAGGGTGAAAATGGACAAGGTTGCTGTTGGGCAACATTTTGTATAGTGTGAGGCGTTACATATTATGGCTGATTAGGATGAAGACTTTCAAAGTAAAATGTATTCAACATTATGAAACTAAATAAATAATTTGACATATCATTTATATAAAGAACTGCATATCTCACTATGAAGAGAAAGAAAATATTTACATATATCGCAATCACAGGTCCTATAACTCTTTAAAGTCATAAGGGCACCACCTGTACAGCTGTCGCAGCAGAAGTGATGTGTCTTGGGCAAGATAGGCTGACAGAGCCCAACACTCTCCAGGCTTTTCTTCTTCTAGACTGGTTGCCAACCAAGGTTAGAGGGCCCAGTCTGTCCAGCTATCTACACATAGCTGGAGGGGAAAAAGAGATTGATTCATACCTTTCCCAAGACTATTACCATGTTGGAGTTACCTCCTCTTAAATTTTGAAAGCACCACTTGAGGGCACTCTAAATTGACTATATATACTTGGCAAAACCTCATCATGTCCTCTTTTCTTCTCATTTTTCAGCTGATGCGACACAATGTAAATCTCTCATGAAGATTTGTGTTCCTTGGGGCCGGGCACTATGTGTTTCCTTTGGGGAAACATGCATGAACATTACACATATGTCTGTATGAACATTCACATTCATTTGCACATACTTTGACCACAAACTTTCTATGTTCATTCATACACACTAATTATTGTCTTTGTCAGCTGTAACCCTTATTATATGTCAATCCACATACAACTGTTATATATATTTTTGCTGTGCCTATGTCTCTGCAGGAAACAGTATAGTGGAAAGATCTCATCAGAGCATAAAGAGAATTGCAGCAAGAAAGCAGTGTCCTATAATGGAGGCAGTATACTGGCATAATATCATGCCGAAGGATGATATATTTTCGACTAATGTGCCTGCCAATAAGATTCACCGTTACCAACTGAAAATGATGGGAATTACTACAACATTACCACCTGATCGTTGTAAGTATCACGATATATACAAAGTTGGGAAAAGAGTATGGGTGAAGCTCTCAATGGTCAGTGTACCTCCAGGTATCAAGTGGGTCGCGTGACGGACATTGTAAGTCCACAAACAATACTAGTTGACGGGATGCCATGGCATGTAAAAGATCTTCACCTTTTCGTTGATTCTGATACATCGCTGAGTGACATTGTCTGACAGTGATCAGATAATTGAGATCTGCGAATCCGATGCTTCCACATACGCAGAGATTCCGGAAACTCAAGATATGTCTGATGACTCCTCAGGAGATGACTCTCCGACACACGTAAGCGAGATTGTTCCATTACAACGAAGCACTAGGATAAAGAGAGCTGCTGCAAGCTGTTCGATTTGTGATAATGAGATCAGGGGTGACTTACCTCGTCAAACCAAGTGACAGTGCGCTGTGTGTATCTTACAATGGAAAATGTGGTGAAAAAGAAAATTACTTACAAAAAAAAAAAAAAAAAAAAAAAAAAAAAAAAAGGGCACAACATGCTGAAGATGAAATATTTGAATTAAAAAACAAGTCCGTTGCAGGAGTTGCTATAAAAGCATTTTGATATGCAAAAATTGGGCGTCCTCTCCTGGCTGTCAGTGAATGGAAAAATTGCTCATCCGATAAAAGCAGTTGGTGTTCTCAAATCGGGGAAGATTCATGTATTTTGGCTACTGTGTTCATTGGAGAGTGAGTTATTTGTCTGACTGGTTATGTGCATTGGGATTTGTGAGATAGTACCAGCGAATCGAGTTTTTGGCATTTCTTTCTGTTCCTGAGTGATTTGTTCTCTGTGTTGTGAAGTAATCTGCAACAAATATTTCCTTTGCTTTCAGAAGGAAGAGGTTCATTGTCCTGTCTTTTTATAGTCATGAAACAGCACCCATCTAGCAGGTCTCTTGTCACAGAAAGTGGAACTAATCCCCACAATATATAAGTTTACATTTACATTATATTTTCTAACATTAAGAAGTTCCACTTTTGCTGGCGGGGTGGGGTGGGGGAGATGTCACTTGTTAGCAAACTGAGACTTGCGGTTACAAAAATAATAGTTATTTATAAAATTGTAAATCTCATCCTTGTCTCTACATTTAGTATGCATCACACATTAAATCATTTGTAGTCTATAAAGGAGTCCATTGCAAATGCCTCAAGGCAGACATGCTTTTTATGAGATAGCCAGTACAGTTCTACCAACTATACATCTGTTGTCCTGTCTTTCATGATTACCCTAGCCAGAGTTAGTATCTGGATTTGTAATTGTGTGAATTTGTGACCAGTCATTTTATTTCTACTACAGAAATATGAAATTCATTTTCTTGGTTAGATTGATTTTATGAAATGGCAACATTTGCTGTGTTATTTAATCTTGAATTTTGTATGCGGCACCTAGTGAGGATTGATTCATTTTTTTTTTATGGCTTATCAAACCTTTGTGGTTTATTTAAAGCTGAAACATTTTGGATTGTAAGAATTTTTTTGGGAAAGTGAATATTGCATTAACAATAGAGCTGTGAGATCTTTGCATGCATTAATTTCAATTCTTCTTATTAATAACTGCATTGTTTTGTGACAAAAGACATGACTTACCTCAGAATTCAAAACGAGCGCGAATGTGTCTTGCCTGCAAAGTGACGACAAAAATAAATCTGGCCGCTATTGAAGACACAATTTATGCATGTCTACCTTGTCCAAAACAAGACGATATTTGCACACATGCAAATTTTGGCCATATTGGAATAGCATAAAAAGCTGATTGAAGTCATTTGTCAGAGAGCGTGCAATAGAGCTGGACATACGGATTGACAGACAGACAAAGGGGAAGTCGAAGTGTGTGAGGCTGAGTTGGTGTCCGTTTCACAACCGCCCAGTGTAACGGCTGAGAAAGGGAGCCACGCAATCTATTTCCTTGAGGTGACTGGCGAGCACTGCACTGCACTTTTTGCCCCCCCCCCCCCATCAACATTTTTTTCTCTACAGTTTCTTTCCAGGTAAACTGACATCTGACTGTCCAAAGAAGACTGTTTATCCTGTTAGTCAAAAAGTCATAGTGTGCATACATTATAGATTTCAGCAACTACAATTGATCCGACTCAAGAGTAATTATTTAGAATGTTGTTGACACCAATGAGGTCAATGAAGGTGGATAGATGAAATGAGGTCAATGAAGGTGGATAGATGATGGGATCTCTTCTATCTTTCTGAATAAAATAAAAAAAAAAAAAAACTAGTGTTAAATTTATGGAAGGCTACTGCAGCAAGAAGTTACCATTGTCACAATATACTACTTGCCACATGGTTGGGCTATTGTCGACTAAACTGGTTCCTCCACCAGGCCTTTCTGACATGGAGAATGGCTTGACACCCAGCAGGATTAAGAACAAGACCTGTCAAAAAGTGAGTGAACTTTCTTGTAAGGTCAATGACCAACTAGCACAATGGGGTAGACTAGGTTCTATAGCTATGGATGTGGCCAGTGTGGTGATAACATGGCATCACTAGGTGGAGGGCTTCCTAGACTGGATTCAATATCCAAAGTGGAGGGTTCCTTTGATGAAATTAATGGTGATATGTGAGCATTCAAGTTGGAGGATGTCTGGTGTAAATTGACATGGAGAGAGATAAGCTCTGCCAGGTCTACTGGCCCAAGACGTGCTATGCTTTCAACCCAGATGTAAGGAGGGAACTGGATATTTGCTAAGCTGTGCAGTTGCCCTATGGCCACACCTGGTTATGGGACTGATGATGACGATGCTGATAATTACAAGCCTTCTCTTTCTTGTTCAAATACTCATTTTTATGGCTCCTGATATAAAGGAAAAACAATTTGAACTTTCTCTGGAAAAAAAGGAAAGTCACACATACACTATAGGCCAAAGGTTGCACTGGACCAGAGGTACTTTCTTTTTCTTGAAGGTTTTTTTTTTATATCATATATTCAATAATAATAATAATAATAATAATAACAACAACAAAAAAAATTAACCTATTATTGCATAAAGTTTCCTTAAAAAATTTAGTTTTTTTTTTCTAATCTACCTTTCTGGCTAATCATAATCTTAGGTTTGGTGGATTCAAAATATAGGTTACCTACTATCTAAAAAAGAAAAAAAAAAAGAAAAAAAGAAAAAAAAAAAAAAGAAAAAAAAGAAAAAAAAAAAAAAAGAAAAAAGAAAAAAAAGAAAAAAGAAAAAAAGGAAAAAAAGAAAAAAAAGAAAAAAAGAAAAAAGGAAAAAAAGAAAAAAGAAAAAAAGAAAAAAGAAAAAAGAAAAAAAAGAAAAAAGAAAAAAAAGAAAAAAGAAAAAAAAAAAAAAAGAAAAAAAAGAAAAAAAAAAAGAAAAAAAAAAAAAAAAAAGAAGTCCCATACACTAATGGGTTAATTAGTTTTAGCATCCTTAGTAGTTTTTAAAAAGTATTAAAAATTATAATTTAATAATCTAAAAATCATTTGGTCTTAATAATAATATAAATACTTTGACAAGTAAATTTTGATTTGAGTCTGGGAGGTTTTTTCATCAGGTACACTCATTTTTTTAGCATATCTTTGGGAAGAGTACCTATTATGCATATATATTATTATATTACATTATATATGATAAAATATATATTCTTTCATAATTAATAGTTATTTTTGTTTGTATCCTGAGAAATGAGGAGTCATGAAAATCTGAGTCAATCTTTAATAAATATCATGAACTTTCATTATATACATATATATCTATATATGAAGAAATATAGTTTTAAGGTGTGCTATATTTATGGGATAAAGTGCTCAATAGCAGAAGTGGAGCATATGTAAAGATGAATATAAAAGTGAACATTGAAGTCAACACTCAGAGGTGACAGGCTGTTTCATGCTAGATACAATCATCAAACGGCCTGACGATTGCATCTAGCATGAAACAGCTTGTTGCCTCTGAGTATTCAATGTTCACTTTATATATATATATATATATATATATAATATATATATATATATATACACACACAATCTCTGAAGGCCAGAAATTTGTGGTCAGCCTCTTTCTGCTTTCAAAGAATGGACTAAATATGGAAAGCTGTCTGTCTTTTTCAAAACTAATTTAATGGCTCACTTCAGCCTAGAGAAACTAATAATAATGATGAAATTAACTGATTACTACACAAAGTTTCCTCAAATTTTTAGCTCTTTTTTAGCTTGCTATCTAATGGTAATCTTAAATTTGGTGGATTTTGAATCTTTGGTAAGCCCTCTCTAAAAGATTGGATGTCATGCACTAATGAGTTTAATAGTTTCAGCACTAATAGGACATAATTAAGGAAAAGAAGGCATGAAACGTAATAATAGATCCAGAAGGTGACCCAAAACATTAGGCTTATAGTGTACCGTATGTACTAGTGTCTCATGTGACTTTTAAAGACCTAATTTTGAAGGTTTTTTTAAGGAGGTCAAGATATAAAAGTAGAATATGTGTATTGCTGGCCCTGGCTACATCATTGATAAAACTACATATCTATTTACTGTACTCAAAAAGTATAACTGAATTTAAAATAAACATGATTTTGATGAAACTGCTATTTGACTTAACTGTATCCAATAATAATGCATGTAATATTCACATATTAGTATCGTATTATCAAATACAAACATAGCGAAGATGTTTCTTTTCTGTTTTCCATTTATAAGATGTTTAGCTGTTTCTCATTCGGTTGTTTATGGCTATACAAGTTTACGCAACGAGTATAGCGTTACTAACGATACTTTTATCATTCTTTTTACTTATTTAACTAGAAGATGGGATAAAGAGATAGAGGAAAAGAGGTTAGTCTTTTGAAATTTTGTCTCTCAAAAAAGGAACTTGTATGATACACAAGATACAGGATAAAATTATTTTTTATAGGTGAAAATTTGGAGGAAGTTGCATGATACACAAAATACACAATTATGTACAGTATATATAAATAAGACTCCATTTGTAAGCATTTGTTTACCTCATTCCACCTGTCCTGTTCATAAATATACAAAACTGCACAAGGGTCAGACTTTGAAGTGGTATCCTTGTTGATTAAATTCTTACAATGGATACGAAGTTCTACTTGACTGGCACATTCTTGAGGAACTGAAGCTGATGGAATTTTTGGGTACGTTGCATTTGAAGCTGAAAGAAATAAAACAAAAAAAATGATAATTTTGTGAAAACATTTTAGATTCATTTAAATCTACTAGTTTTGAGCCATGAAAGTTTCATGGCTTTCTCATTTGAATTTTAAGATGAATCTTAATTCTTCAGTTAATGATTGATTAGGCTTACAGGGAGTTCTATAAAATATCCAGAGAAATTCCCCTATTGCATCATTAAATATTTGAGCTTAACAACTTTAAGAAAATATTGTAATAACAATCATAAATATGGTCATTATTTTAAGAAGTGGGTACAAATGAAAAGATTTGAAGTTGACAGCTTTTTCCATTTGACTGAAACAGCCATTAAACACTCAGTTCTTTCTTTCTTTCATTCAGTCCCTTTTTGAAACAAAGTAATGTCTTTTCCCCTCTCTATGTGATCAAAGCGGAATAGTCCATTATTTATGGGATATTGACATGTGATGTTAAACACTTCTATCTTTTTTCATTTTCTCATTGAAACCAAGTAGTGTTTTTCCCCCTATGTGATCAAAATGGAATAGTCCATTACTTATGAGGTATTGGCAGGACATAATGGTCGTGTGAACTAACAAAGGGAGGGACAAGCACAATTATAATAGGATGATTAGTCATACAATTCCCAATTATTATTTACATTTGAACAAATCCTCATCTCTGTTGTTTCTTCACTCACACTTCTTGTCTGTGGATCTCTCACCCACCTTCCTGCTTTGTTTAAGATTTTTTCAGTATGAACAAGTGGAATAATTACTTTGTTCTCCAGTTGGTTTACACTGTTTAACTCCTCATATGAAGAAGCACTTATGCACTTTACACGTTTTATAATTAAGATTTTCTGAAGAATGGGTCTTTGATCAAAACTGGTTAGTTAAGACACAACTAAATATCACAGGTGTGTCATTTTTTTTTGTTGTTAACTACAAATTCATCATGTCTTAAACATCATATTTATTACTGAGAGCTAGAATGGAGTAACACATTAAAAGGTAATAATTGAGATTGAGTGTCAAAGATTAGGCTGGGGTTTGATGCAACTGTTTAAAAGTAGAGGTCATTTTCACATATAATAGACTGATAAGTCTCATACTTTTTTTTTAAAGTATTAATTATGACTTGTTGCTGATTTGGTAAATAAATTTAATCACATTAGTATACACATTTGGTTTAAGTTAAAACTTATCATGGGATATTTATAAACTGAAACCCATAGCTGTATTGATTTTCAGTCCACCTTAGCCAGTAGTGACGTTGACAAGAATACTATTCTCTCTTGTTCACATGTTTGCCAGAACTAAGAGTATTGTTTACTCCTTTGGGAACATTCTGTGCTACACACACACACACAGAGTTATAGATATTATTATAAGAAATGCAACAGTTTAAAAGTAGAGGTCATTTTCTCACATATAATAGACTGATAAGTCTCATACTTTTTTAAAATAGGAGTAGATATGTTTGCTTATCGTCCAGTTCACACTCCTCCCCAGTATTTTAAATAGGCGTAGAGGTTTATGCCTTGTTTCCTGTTTAGGATTGGGTTTCCAGTTCTTTCCAAAGTCGATTTCTATTCCATACTTCTAACATACTTACATTCACTAAGTGAATCTTGACTTCTTTAAGTCTAGAATTAGCCATTATCTTTCCTACATAACACCAAGAATTTCACTTCTTGCCCCTTTTTTTTACGCTAATACAACTTCACACAGTAACTCTATACCTTGAGCCTTGGACTGGGTGAACATTATTATATATATATATATATATATATATATATATATATATATATATATATATATTGTATGACATATCTATATATAAAATCCCTTTGAGAACAATGTATGTGTATGTGTCATTTCTTTCTATCGGGTATTCTGGTCCTTCCTATCTTCCATTTTATTAAATTGTTAGTATGTCACTTATATACTTATGCCTATAATAGGGTAACTGGAAATGTTCTCTCTTTCCAGGCACCCTATTAGCTTTTTTGCTTTGTTTGGAATGAAATAATATATAAAGAATGTGGAGTACAGGTCCAATAAGTAGAATGTAATTTTATAACATTATTCAGATTATTGTCCTCATCTTTGTCGCCATATTTATTACAACATTTTGGCTGTTGTATGCTCTGGCCTTCTTCGGGTGGTTGGAATGTCGAACTGCACCCTTTATTTTGCTCACTGGGGTAGACTGTTCTAGTTCCACGTGCCATGTTTGATGGATATCAGTTATCTCCTGTTAATTTCCCTCTGAAAGTTCTCCACTGCCTTAACAGGGTATTGAACTCACACTCTTTGGGTCCTGTCACTGGATCTAACCAACGCTTTAGCAGTAGACTGTCAGATGTGGACCATGGTGGAAATAACTATGGCTCAAGTCTGTTCACTGCCTTTATTTACACCTGAACCCAGGATAAAATCACCTCAGGATCAGCCTTTTTTGAAATGAGCAAGATGGCCATGTGAGCACATGGAAGAATTAAATTCCTGTCTAGTTTCTACAAAAAAAAAAAAAAAAAAAAAAAAAGTTCCTACATACAAGTTTAAATCTTTTCACAAAGGTTTTAAGATAAAGGAAAAGTGGGGAAAAACAGTCTGCAATAAGGATCATTCTTAATTTAAGAAATATATCCAAGTTTTACAATTGATAATGAATTTGAAAGGTGATAATGAAAAAAAAAAAAAAAAAAAAGATCTTTTCTGTTAATTCACCTCAAATAACGTAAAGTTACTTATCGCAAATATTAATTCTCCCCAGGAAATTACAAATTTTAAATCAAAGTTTGTTTTTTATAAAATTTTTTGGCAGTCTTTCAAAATTTAAATCAAATTCAAAGTGTGTTTTTTATTTAAATTTTTGGCATGGGTTAGAGTTAGGAATTTTTTACAGTTTAAAAAAGGAAAATAAATGTTTTTGATTTATTTATCGGTTTGATTGCGAATGTAAACCCCCCACTTAGCAATAGTGCACCTAAATCGCCCACATTTGGGGCGATCGCAAAGGTCATCCCAACGAGTGCAATGGAAGGGCCTTGCTCTGAGAGAATTTGGTGTGAACTTTAAATAAATTCTTTTTATTTTTTGGATGGAGGGGGGGTGAATTAACACTAACAGAAAAGATCCTAATTAAAAGGTAATAAAAGTTAAACTAATTCCATAATTTTGTCACTAGCCTAAGCTTGTCCGCTCTCCGTAAAAATGATTTGAACTGATTTTTAGTGTGCCCCTGACTTAGAGGCCGGCTCTTGTAGTATACAAAATACTCTGGCGACGGGTTTCGCTTACACTACGACTGTTTTTCTTAAAGTAGCGAGCAATAAAAATGACGAACTGGTTTCAAGGTTATTGACTTGCACAATCGAAGATTTCCATATCTTATTTTTGACAAATAATCATCTCTCTTTTCTTTCAAAATAAGCCTACCAATGTCTTGAATCTGTTTGGTAAACACTGACGTCATATGTTTTTCCCGGTCGACTGAAGTCAGTGAAGTATGACAACGACATTTGATTTTTACATTTCATTACCAAAACGTAGCGCCGTACAGTGGTATTAAATAATACTGCAGTAATCAGCATCATTTAAAACATAAATAACAACGTGAGGGTTTGAGATAAAAATTCTGTGAGACTTCATAAACATAGCCTTTGACTTGAGCTTGGCCGTTTCCTTAGTCTTCTTAAGAACAGTTTGGCGATAAAATTTTGTCTATTAAGTTTGGGGGATTTTTTTTTTATCATGTATGCTGATTTTTTAGCGAATTTTTTGGGTGGTACCTACCATATTACCTCTTTTTATTTCCGATTTTGATGAATAAGGAATGGGTCGATTATCAGATTGAACGAATAAAAAAAGCATCACACCACCGGCCACGGCGCACCCTTTATTAAAAAAAATCTAACTAGTAAAAAAGTAAACATTTTGTAACCTTCGTTAACAAGAGAAAAGATTCCATTTCTTTTTCAATATTCCCGTCGAAATACTTTATTACTTTTCATTTTAAATAATAAACATTTCTACATCTGCGGCTAAAAATAATGATAACGTAAGCGAGTAGAGACATAATGTCAGTTAACCCAACGTAGCCTTTGTATTGAAGTGGAACTGTCACGAGAAGGAAATTTAGATAGAAAGATGTTTCCATAATAAAAAGTACGAACACAAGATGTTTTTATTTAATGCTTGGAATTTTAATTTGAATTGCAACTCTAATTACCTTAAAGTTTTAAAGGTTTAAAAATAAAACTTAAAAAATAAATCCCACGCACTTGCATAGGTCGACAATCGACATACATCTGAGCGAATAATTTGAGATCTTTTTAATAAAGTTAACTGCACAAAAAATGCTTATAAGGGAAGTTTTATGATAAAGTGAAACTATTCTATAGTTTGATATATATATAGAGAGAGCCAATTAAAAAATACTTACCCTCAGATGACGCTTGCATGATTGCGGAGTTCAAAAGCTTACGAACAAATACAAAGCAACAAGTTTAAGAAGGGGAGAGCACTCTTTTTTTAGGCGTGGCCCTGATACACTTATTTAAATGAAAAAGCTGAATAAACAAGTTGAATAAACGAGGATTGCTCCGAAAGTAGTGCTTTCTATTTTATTGCTTTGGCCCACTTGGTGGAGTGTTAGTAGAGATTGAACTTTCTTGCTAATAACTCATATGTTCCTACCCTGTTACAGAATAGTAATTTTTGTACAATGGCATCTGATATGAAGCTGCATATAAAGCACTGAGTTTTTCCATACAGAAATAAATTGAGAAATTGATATTTACTGAGACTTGGTGAATGTTAACAGAGACCAAACAGTGTATATTAACACTGCCAGGTGCTGGATAATTAGCTGTGGACTAGCCAGGTTGTCAGCTTGCCCAATAACAACTGGGCCACTAATGGTGTGGGCCCTCTATATCAAATAAAAATGCAATAAAGAAAAAAACACGGACAACTGTTTTAGTAATAAAAAAGGTATAAAACCTTTATAAAATCATTTACATGCTATCTGTTACTCAAGTCCAATGTTAGAGGACATTTTCAAAGCTAAAGATTATAAAGACAAGGTTAAGAAATTCACTGTCTGAGGAGACTTTGGAATCATACATGTTGCTATCCATTGAAAAGGAATTGTTAGATTAATTTTACACAAAAGTAATTATTGGCAGATTTGCACAATACAAATGATTGCTCTTAATATAGTGGACTGCATGCAATACTTTATTGTGCTTTTGACCAGGGCTGGTGCAAGAGTTTCATGTTCCCACTACCGAATCTATGATACAGGACCCCACCCCCATTCACTTACATGCTAATATCTTTGGGAAAGGTATGGATCCTCTTCTTCCCCCAACTATGAGTACATATCAGGACAGACCAAGTTCTCTAGCCTTGGATGGCAACTGGTCTGTTGCAGAAAGAAATGGCAACCTACTGCAGAAAAAAAATCTGCCTCGTCCATTGTTTATTATAAGCTAATTACATACAATAATGGACCATATGGAATATAGATGAAAATTCAACTACAATGTCTTTGAATACAAATTAGAGACATTTTATAATAGATCATTCAATCTTAAATAAAATGTTATGCAGCAATTTTTATCATCATCTGGAGATTTTTCTTCTTCAAAATTTGAATAATTTTAATATATTCAACATTATGGATAAAAAACAGTGAATTTTATATGTTTTCTGAGGCTTAGCATGAGCAAAAATAAATTCACGGATTTGGATGAAAAAATAATCCCAGAATGGCATCAAAATCCACAAAACTTTTTCATCCTTCAATAGTTATTTGTACTTAGTTTAATTTGTTATGTATATAAATAAAGGTTGAAAAAATAAGATGTTGATAAGATAGTGATTGCTACAAAGCATTTCCTGGGGCCCCCCATCATGGTTGGCTGCCTTGGTCAGGTGTTCAGGTTTTCATCGGCCCTGTTCATCAGTGTTCACCAAGTGTTCATTGGCCCTGTTCATTGGTGTTCACCAGGTGTTCATCGACCCTGTTATTGAACTATCTGTTAATGTGTAAATTGTGAAGTAAACTTTTTAAAAATATTAGCCAATTATTTAAAATTAAAAACAAAATAAATACAAAATTTAAATTATTCTTTATTCACATATAGTATCTACTGTTAGTAATATATACAGAATATGTACACTGTAATTACTAAGAAATACATATTTTTGCACAAAAATTTTATTTTAATCTTTTTTTCCTTATGTATTTTTTTGAAAATTTAATTTATTTGTTGTGAAAATTAAGTGATAGAATTGTAGTTGTGAGTGGCCCTCTGTCTTCTAGGAACCAATATTTTTAAACCTAGTTCGCCACTCTGGATAATGTAATGTATATGAAAAGCCACGTTTCAGTTGGCCTTGCACAGGTATCAACCCACAAAATGAAGGGTGTCTTGAAAATGCCTATTTATAGTTACTATGTAGAAAATTAGCTACAAAGCTGAGAACTTGCTCCATCCAGTAGTATCATTGTGCTGTCTTTATCTGTTGTAGTTTATAAGGGAAATAAGCTGGAGGCATTATTTTCGGAACATGACACGTATAAAATATTGATGTATATATATATATATATATATATATATATATATATATATATATATATATATATAAAAGCTTGTATGTCAGACATATGATAGACAAATCTATATAGCAAGTTTCCTTAGGTGTCATATGTGAATGCCTCCAAAACAAAACTGCTTTCATTTGATCACCATGGAGAACCTTTTCTGCCTGCCATCAAGATGGCTGATGCTAAACTAAGGAGAGCAACACTCTACACCTTGGAAGCCTCATGTTTTCCCCTGACATGAAATGGAGCGACTATATCAAATCAATTGCTACATCTACTGGTTCACTGTGTCGAGCCAAAAAAGTTTCTCGTATAATTATAAATCTACCATTAATCTTAGCACTGCCATATCTGGTCTGGCACTTCTGCTGTAAATTTTGAGATTTTTGACAAAATTCAAAGAAGAGTCTGTAATGTAATTGATTCTGACCAGGCATCTTGACTTCAGTCACTTTCTCACTATTATGATGTGGCTTCCCTCTGTCTTTTCTACAAATATTTTCATGGCAACTTCTCTGATGACCTGGTGACCTGGCTACATGAATTTAAACATGCTACTAGGTTTCACCATTTTACTGTTGAATAAGCTAGTTGTAACTGCCATTTCTACTCCGACAGATTCTTTTCTCAGACTTCTCATCGGTGGAACTCCCTTCTGATTTCTTGCTTCCCTGATAACTACAATCTTCAAGAATTTAAATGCAATGTCAATCACCATCTTCTCTCTTCTTGTACACTGTTCCTTTTTTGTCCTTTCCTCAATCCTCCCCATTCTTCTCATTCTCTTTCAATCCTTGTGTTTGAGTGGCATTTAAAAAAATACATATATCATACATACATACATATATATATACATGTATATATATCTTTATACATGTGTATATATCTATATCTATATATATATATATATATATATATATATATATATATATGTGGGTCATCCACAGACAGACTGTTTCGCTGTTTCATAGCTCATCAGTGTGGCTAGACATCCGGTTGCCTCTAGCTAGGATTGAAACCCAACTGAATTAGTGTCAGTCGGAGATTCTACCACTAAGCCGTCAGCGCACGGCAGGGATGAAGGTGAATTTTAGTGTATTTATTTTTTGAAACACACACAGTGACCGACAGTGATTCAATTCACTTTTATGAAGAGTCTACTATAATATATATATATATATATATATATATATATATATATATATATATATATATATATATATATATATATATATATATAAATAAGCTAATTACATACAATAATAGACCATACCATTAGTGGTTAACTGGAGCAAGATATGGCTAGTAAATTTTAATGCCTCCAAAACAAAACAGCTTTCATTTAATCACCATAGAGAACCTTTTCTGCATGCTTAATTTTAATATATATATATATATATATATATATATTTTTATAATTATTTTTTTTTTAAAATGATTCCATTGTGACACAGAAATTACTATGTTTCAAAACTTGACTCAAGTCCTAAAGTTTAATTTCAATATTAAACTTAAAATTTAGAGTGCAGTTTTGTTTTCAAGAGATGTTTAGAATAAACTTTTAAATTTTAAGTTTAATATTGTAATTAAACTTTTGAACTTGAGTCAAGTTTTGAAACATAGTAATTTCTGTGTCGCGATGGAATCATATTTTTTAAAAATAAAAAAACATAAATACTAAAGAACTTTGGATCATTAATTTAACTTTTCTTTCCTATTACATCAATGCACACACACACACACACACACACACACACACACACACACACACACACACACACACACACACATATATATATATATTTGTGATATGATAAAAATATAGTTTTAAGGTATGCAATATTATTGGGTTAAAGTTGTCAATATCATGGATACAGCGTATGTAAATATAAAAGTGGACATTGAGGTCAATGCCCAGTGATGACCATCTGTTTCATGATTGTATGCAATCTTCAGGTCATCTGAATACATAAATATAAATATCTATATATCTAGAGATGTGTTGCTGAGAAAATTTTTTCTTTGATACTATTTTTTCATGGTAAATACAAAAAGATATAAAATTTACTCTCTGTGTACATTTTGCGTTCCTTGTCTATTTGTGTGTAGATGTGTGGAAATTCACAGATAAGAAGCCTGAAAAATCTTTGGTGAAAATTATGTTTGAATCTATTAAGAAATGACTATAAACTTTGAAAGTCTCAAAAACTTTTCAAAAATTCAAAAAAAAAACTGAAAAAATGAAACTGATGTTTTGATTTTTCTAAAAAACAAAAACAATGCTAGAAATTTTCTACAAAGCTGAAACAATGAAACTAATGTTCAGACATATCTAATAAACAAAGAAATGGCTAGAAATTTTCTAGAAAGCTGAAGCAATGAAACTCATTTTCAGAATTATCTAAAAAAACAAAAACAAAAATTGTCCAGAAATTTTCTAGAAAGCTGAAAGATCAAAACTGATGTTCAGAATTATCTAAAAAACACAAACAAAAATTGGTCAGAAATTTTCTAGAACGCTGAAACAACTGAAGTGATATTCAGATTTATCTAAAAATACAGTATTTACTCTGTCCCCCCACTAGGATGAGATGTGACACAAGGTCTATTTTTAGGTGGGGACCCAAGCGCGTATGCCCGGGACAGAAACAAAAATTCCCCTCAGCCCCAGCCACCATCGGTTACGCTGGCCTCAGTGTGAGCACTGATCCCACCCTCTGGTGCAATGGGAGGCCACAGCCTCGGGCAGATACTCCCCAGAGTTGGGCACCTTTTCAGTATTAATTTTCTCAGTTGCCCCTGTGTCCCTTGTCAGATCAGCCCCTGATCGCACTCTGTCCAAGGACA